CTACATGCCCTGTGTCGTTTTCAGCCTAAAAGCCTGAAAACGAGGGCTTACAGGCTCTGTGTCGGTTCAGCCTGACAGCCTGAAAATAAGGGCCTACAGGCCCTGTCTCGTTTCAGCCTGACAGCCTGAAAACAAGGGCCTACAGGCCCTGTGTCGCGTCAGACTGACAGCCTGAAAACGAGGGCCTACAGGCCCTGTGTCGGTTCAGCCTGACAGCCTGAAAACAAGGGCCTATAGGCCTTCAGTCTTTAGCCAGAAGCTACCTGGAAACTACCCGGAAGCTTCCTCAGGGGCTAGCACGCTCTGGCATTGGCAAGAGCAGCCTCCCAAAAGCTTCCTCAGGGTCTAGCACGTTTGGGCATTGGCGAGAGCAGCCTCCTGGACGGGCCAGCACTATATAAGACTGGCCCGCCCTACAGACAGGCGCGAGGTAGTTCATAGGAACTTCCAAGGCACTTCACGTGCATAAGGCAGGAGTAGTCTTCAGGATTCGGCAGCAGCACTCTGGAGGAGCGCTGCAGGAGTAGCTTTAGCGCTAACAGTAGTCTTCAGCGCTGGGCGCTAGTAGCTGTAGTGGTAGTCTTCAGCGCTGGGCGCTGGTAGGAGCAGAGTAGTGTTGGAGAGAGAGATGGCTGGCGGAGGCCAGGGAGACTTACCTGTGGCGCCATAGCTACAGCTCCATCTTCGAGGTACCTGCATCAAGGCGCCAACTTCACAGGTTAGTACCGCACTGAGAGAGAGAGAAAGAGTTCTTCTTCTTCCTCTTCTAAGTCCACCATCTCTTCGTCACCCTCTCGCTACCTGACTTCTCAGTATCTGCAGACTACGAAAGAGAGAGAGAGAGTTGTGACTTTGAGACTTGACGACATTGGATCCAGACTCGACATGGGGGATTCAGACATTTGACAGGGGATTATTTGGGACATGTACCGAAGACTTGGTGTTGACGGCATTCCCATCTTCCCTTCTTCTTCGTCTAACCCCCCTCTTCTTCGTATGTGTATGGTTGGGGACTGGCGCATTCTTCCTGTGTGAGCGCCAGGCCCCTTCACACCATGGAATGATGATGATGTATGTTTGAGGCTGAATTGGAATATTGATTGTTCGGATCATTGGTATCTAAGTCTTCCGCTATCTTGTACTTTGTGAGAGAGGTCGATTCTTGTTCTGGTCTGCACCGCTACGATATGCAACAGTTTGGTATCGGAGCAGACCTCTCAATCAGAGGACCTGCCCAATCAAGGAGCCTGCTTGAAGTTATTAATTAATTGATAGTTCGATGATTGATTGATAGCTTGATGATTGATTGATTGACTATTTATCAAGTAGGACTTCGTCAAATCTCTGCAAAAAAAAAATTCTTCTCGCAACAAATATCTGAAAATTTTCGATAGTAGCATTTCGTTATCTGAAAATTTATGATAGTAGCATTTCGTTTCATCTAAAAACATTTCTGATATTAGCAGTTCATTTTCTAGGCATATTGAGATATCGATAGAGGTTGTCATATTCTCGGAAACTGGGTTTAGTCTTTTCTGAAAATCGAATCTCTATTCTATTTCGCACAAATCTCGCTAAACCGAAACTTTGCGAAACCTTGCCCAAATCTCGCTAATCGTATTCCTCTGAAATGCCTCACTGATATCAAATCGACAGATTTTCAAAAAAAGAAAAAGGGAGATGAGTCTCTTCTTTTATTTTATGTTATCTTTTTTAGTCTGTTAATTAGGACCGGGAGGAAAGTACTGTTTGGTTGGTTACCTTCTTGCGTTTTCCCTCCCACCCAACCCTTTGCCTGCATTCCGGTTTGGTACAGTGCCACGTCAGCAGCAACGTCAGCAGTGCCACATCAGCAACAGTGCCACGTCAGCAGTACCACGTCAGCAGTGCCACATCAGCAACAGAGCCACGTCAGCAATACCACGTCAGCAGTGCCCCGCCACCATGACGGTCTCAGTTCTCGGCATGCCAGGCCAACTGGCCAATGAGTCCATTGCCGAGTACCGACAGCGGTTCGAAGCTCAACTCGCACTGATCAAGGCTGAGGAACAGCGTCAGGCGGCAGCCGAGGCTGCCCGCCTAGAAGCTGAAGCGGCGGCAACAGCTGAAAAACAGCGGCTTCAGGCCGAAGCAGACGCAGATACCCAGGCACGCCGCAAGGAGGCCCAGGATCTGCTACAGCGGCATGAAGCCACCAGCATTGAAAAGCTCAAGTTCTGGCATTTTGAACCATCCGAGCACCACGAAGACGTGACACCGGAGGAGCAGCACAAGGAGTTTCAGCCAAACCCGTGACCCGGTTGGTTTACACTTGTAACCACCTGCAGTCCGAGCTGACCAATCTCCGACGGGCGGTGTGGAACCACAAGGATCAGCACGAGGATGCTACACGGGCACTTGATTCCCGTGTACAAGACTTGGAGCAAGTTGCACCAAGACCGAATGCTGGCAAGTCCAGCAGTGCATCCTCTACCTGCCAATTGGAGGAACGAGTTGACCACGTAGTCGCAATGCTCGGCGACATCAGCACCTTCGCTGCACCAGCCACCATCAGCAAGCAACTGGACACCTTGAAGACCGAGGTTCAGCAACTGCACCAGCCGCCCAACAAGGATAGCAAAACCAGTGCGCAGCACTACAAGATGCTGACATTCCAAATCGAAAGTTTGATGATTATACACATCAAGACCCGCTCCCCTGGTGGGAGGGCTTTACGACGCAACTTCGGATTCTTTTCGTCCCCGAGCACTCGTACATCGGCGCGATGTTCCTCAACTCAAAGGGCAAATGCCAGATCTGGCTCAGCCACCTGGCAACCATTCACGGCGTCCAGGTCGCCGATCTACATGAGAAGATCTCTTGGGAAGAGTTGACGAGGCTATGGAAGAAGCGGTTCATCGTGGACGACGCCCCGACGCTCGCCATCAACCGCCTCTTCGCCATGACCCAAGGCAACACATTGACACGCGACTGGCTGACGGAATGGCAAAAGATCGCTGCAACGCCCGATCTCGAGTTGCCATTTTCGCATCTGTGTCGGGAGTTCTACAACCGGTCATGTGCCGCCTTGAGCCTCGCACTTGGTGATCGCGAGCAACACACGACCTTCGCCGAAATCATCGACAAGGCAAGGGAGATCATCAAGACCAACAGGGCAGCTGCACACAAAAAGTCAGCGTGGCAGCCAACCTATGTGGAGAAAGGAAAATTTGGTCCGGAATTGCAGCATGTTGCTGCAGTCCAACCGGACAACATTGTGGAAGACCCGGCAGCCACCCAAGCATCACGTGAGGGAGATCAGGTGGCCGCTGTCCAGCCGCGAAGCAACAACAACTCCCAAGGAAAAGGGAAGGTTAAAACCGCATCGCCGGCCGGAAACGGACAGCCAGCACCATGGGTCAAGTTTCACTTGACCGAGGCCGAATACAAGTGGCACGGCCAGTATGGCTGCTGCTATTGTGTTTCCAGAAAAAAGATTACAGTGGGTAGAATGCAAAGTAAGATAAACGATTGATTACATAATCGAGCAAAGAAGGAAAAAAAACTTATGCTCCGTGAGGTTTCATTAAGCTGGAGCAATCAATGAATTCAATCCCACCGGGCCATCATCAATTTTCAATTCCCATTAGCTAAGGGTTCAGTCTAGATAAGAGCTGGGATGGTTGGATTTGGTCGACGCTGTATTATCTTATTTACTTGTCTGTACCAACTTCTTCTACGTACACCTGTGTAGATGCACCCAAAGGAGAATTTGGTGTATATTTAGTTAACAACGAAACCAATTGTCCTTATCGTTGTAAAATTCGGGCACTTGGTTTTGCTCATTTACAAGGGCTTGATTTTATGTCGAACCTAAAATGAAATATTTTAATCCAGCCTCTGTAGAGAATTCAGAATTTCGTTTTGATGCTGCTGGAGGTTTCCGAAGTTTAATAAGTCATTGGAATTAATCGCAAGAGTAAAAGGATTCGAACCTTTGCATGTCGGTATAAAAAATCGATGCCTTTCCACTTGGCTATACTCCAATGAGATAACGCGACCGACCAACGACCTCAATGTCTTAGCTTAGAATTACTGTCAAGAATAAGCAAATGAAAATTATAAATGATGTACATCTTCTTGAGTATAACATAAAATAAAAAGGTCGTAGTAATTCAAGATAAATGTTGATATGTGTGATCATATTATTGACTTATTAGGTTTCGTAAAGTAATTGATACAAGAATATGATAGCAAGAAAAAAACAAGAATAGATATCCCATGAATAAAGTTATAGCTTCGTCCTCAGTTTGATATGAAGTACMAAAAAGAATTAAAGGTAATAAAGTAGGCAATGTGGTAAAAAAGAAGAAATTGGTTTTTCGAGAGTCTGTAGATCTCAATCCAAAAGTCAAACAAGAACGAATACCACATATAAGAGTAAAAACTGGACTTCCTACTATTATAGTCAAAAAATTTACTGTTGAATATTGAAAATGATATAACAATTGTAAAACAGGAAAACTCAACAAAATAGCCATGATTTTGAGTAACCAATGACTTAGTAATTGCGAAATTAAAATCTTTTGTAAACGAGTGGATGGTCCACTTAAACAAAACAATTCGAATGTACCATCTTCAAAATCATTTTGAAATATGGACCAACATCACCAAGCACAAGACCTCCCAATGCCCGGATCAAGGCAAGGAGGATGTTCGGTCTCGCATCAACTCGGGAAACCGAGTTGCGCAGGAGGTGAGGCGACTCCACCTCTCACTCCGCCAGATTCGGTCGCCTTGCTAGCGGCCTCCTACACATCAAGGGAGGATGCGAATGTCGCAAGTCCTCGGTTCACTTACGAGGATTATGCTGTCCACTTGGTCCCACCGTTGGACCAACGACTCCACGTGCAACAATCCACCGCATGCACGGTTTCACCACCATCGGCAACCAATTCGGCAGCTTCGCCGCCAACTATCGCCGAGGATTCAACGTCATGGTCAAGACTTGAAGAGCTCGACCCGTTGATGTTTGCGGACTTCCAATGGATGGCCCTTCCCCCGTCCGGTCGATTGCCGAAACCGTATTGCACTATGCTCATGGCACAATTGCAGGATTACTTGCACACTGCAGTACCAGCTCTGTTGATGGACGCTGGAGTAGAGGTTGTCGACCTTCACGACTACGTTGCGAAGATCGACCGCGAGTTCAAGACACAACGGTACGACGACATCGACGCGCCATTGTTGTACATACGCATTCAGATCGGAGATGCGACCTGCAACGCTTTGATAGATTGCGGAGCTACTCGCAACTACATGAGCTAATACTTTATGGTACGCGTTGGCCTTGGGCCACGCGTTCGAAGGAAGTCGCAGCCCACACAAGTCACGTTGGCCGACATTCACACGCACAAGTCAATCCACCGGTGTATTGATATCGTCCCTGTGTACTTTGCCCCGCATGCAAGTGAGGCCGTGTCCTTCGACATTTTGGACACCAAGTTCGACATGATCTTGGGCATGTCATGGCTACGAAGCGAGAATCACCCGGTGAACTTCTACCGCCGCAACGTTCACGATCGTGACCGGAACGTAGTACTAGTCCCATCCACGGTGCCTCCTCCTCACCCTTCGATCAGCTGCCACGTGGTGTCCGCTGCAAGCATTCGAGCTTCCATCATCAGCGATGACATCGAGGAGATGGATGTGTGTTTTCTTCACGCCTTCCCGCCCCAAGACATCCCATCGACGGACTCATCACCGGACCCAAGCATCACCAAGCTTCTCGACGCCTATGGCGACGTATTCGAAGCCCCGCACGGAGTAGTACCGGATCGGCCAATCCGCCACGAGATCATCCTCGAGGTCGGGGCCGTACCTCCGCGTGGTTGCATCTACCGCATGAGCGAGGAAGAGTTAAGTGTGCTACGGGCACAACTCGACGACCTTCTCGAGAAAGGCTGGATTCGACCTAGCTCCTCGCCATACGGCGCTCTCGTTCTCTTCGTCCGGAAGAAGAACAAGGATTTGCGGTTGTGCATCGATTATCACAAGCTCAACGCGCAGACCGTCAAGAGCGTCGGCCCTCTTCCGCGCATCGACAACCTCCTCGAACGGCTGGGCAGCGCCAAGTTCTTCTCCAAGCTTGACCTCAAATCGGGATATCACCAACTCGAGATTCGGCAGGAGGACCGCTACAAGACCGCGTTTAAGACGCGATATGGGCATTTCGAATGGCTGGTTATACCTTTTGGCCTTACGAATGCCCCGGCCACATTCCAAGCGGCTATGATAACGGAGTTCCAACACATGCTGGATAGATTCGTACTCATCTACCTCGACGACATCCTGGTGTACAGTCGGAGTTTGGACGAGCATGTGGAGCACCTGCGCACCGTTTTGGAGCGGCTACGACAAGCCAAGTACAAAGCCAACCGCGACAAATGTGAATTCGCACGGCAAGGGCTAGAGTACTTGGGACATTATGTGACACCGCAAGGCATCCGTCCGCTTGCGGATAAGATCGAGGCCATCCGCGTATGGCCCGAGCCCACCAACACCACGGACGTTCGTTCATTCATGGGGTTGGCGGGCTACTATCAACACATCATCACCGGGTACTCAATCGCCAAAGGTGCCATTCATATTTGATGACGATGCACGCCAGTCATTCCAAGCACTCAAGACGGTCATGCTCATGGCACCCGTCCTTAGCATCTACGACCCCACCCTGCCAAGGAGAGTGACAACTGACGCTTCCGGCTATGGCATTGGGGCAGTCTTGGAACAACACGACGGCGACGACTGGCACCCCGTGGAGTATTTCAGCCACAAGGTGCCTCCCATCAATTCACTTGATGATGCAAGGAAGAAGGAGCTGCTCGCATTCGTGATGGCTCTCAAGCGATGGCGGCACTTCCTCCTTGGGCGTCGTAGGTTCACATGGGTCACGGACAACAACCCATTGACCTACTACAAGATGCAGGATACGGTGAGCAGCACGATCGGACGATGGATGTACTTCATCGAGCAATTCGACTTCACACCGAAACATCTCGCCGGCCTCTCCAATCGCGCAGCAGATGCACTCTCGCGAAAACCTGATATTTGCGCTATGACACATCATGCCTTCGCATTCGACGAGGAACTAATGCAACACGTCATCAGGGGCTATGAGTCTGACCCGGATTTCGCCACGTTGTATGCGCAGCTATTTTCGGATCACCCGTCGGCCAGCCACTATCGCATCGTCGACGGGTATTTGCTTCTCCACTCGCGAGGCAAGGACTTCTTGTGTGTCCCACACGATCGTCGTCTTCGGACTCGCCTTCTCGGTGAGTACCATGACTCACGACTCGCCGGCCATTTCAAAGTCAATCGCAATATTGCACGACTTCGGTAACGGTTCCGATGACCCGACTTCATTACCGATGTCACTCGGCATTGCGACTCTTGCGAAGTTTGCCAACGGAGCAAGCCCCGCAACCGCAATCCCTACGGCGAGTTGCGCCCGATGCCCATCCCATGGGAACCCGGCCTCTCCATTGCCATGGACGGCACCGGTCCATTTCCCCGCGACCGCCTCGGGCACGACGGAATCCTCACGGTCACTGACCGTTTGGGCAAGTATGCGCGATTTCTTCCTCGAAGTACTATGCCACGGCTCCCGAACTTGGCGCCTCTTGCACACCGGCTGGATTTGCAGCCACGGCGTTTCGGAGGACATCGTTAGCGACCTCGGCACTCGTTTCATGTCGGCATTCTGGACTTCTCTCATGCAGGAATCCAACACCAAGATGAAACCAAGTTCGGCTTGGCATCCACAAACAGACGGGCAAATGAAGTGGGCACATCAAACCACTCAAATGATGCTTCGTACACTCATCCGTCCGGATCAGAAGGATTGGGTTGACTGCCTCCCCGACATCGAGTTCGCCTACAACACTTCGGTGCATCCGGCGATCTGTGTGACTCCATTCGAGTTGCACCACGGTGGCCGGGAAGGCCGTATCTTCGCTGATCTTCTCCTTCCACGAACAGCCGACCTAGACGCTGCTTGCTCTCGCGCTTTCGTCCGGAAGTACAGGGAATTGTTGGCACACGCCCTCGCGAACATGCAAAAAGCCCAAGTCCGCATGCAACAGCAAGCCAACAAGTGTCGCGTGCCATGTCCCATCCGCGCCGGTGATCTGGTTTGGGTCTCCGCGGAAGAGTTTGCACTCGAGCAGGATGTTTCGTGCAAACTACTCCCCAAGTGGTTTGGACCATGGCCCGTAACATCAGCCGCGGGGGATGAGCCCGATGGCCCCTCATTTGTGATCAACATGCCCCCGCATCTGACGGTCCATCCAGTCTTTCCCGCCTCAAAGCTGGCGACATATACACCAGCTAAGAGCGACGACTTCCCGGGCCGACGATCACAAGACCCTCCATCTATGGATGGTCATCAGGAAGTTGACCTCGTCATCACGGATCGCAAGTACAGCAGCAAGCCTCGACAGTACAATGCTACCTTCAAAGCATGCGATCCCGATGACACCCGATGGATTTCAGGAGCAGATTTGAAAGCATCCGCACCGCTGATCTACTCTGACTACGAGCGACAAAGGTCAGCTAGGGAAGCTTCACGACCTGCCCCTCCCACCCAGACTTTGGTCCCTCCCTCAGACAGACCGCTTCGCCCTCGCACGTAAGCTCGGTCTGTTAAGGAGGGGGGGGTGTGGCATACTGTGCAGCCACACAGGCCTGAAGGGCCCGATCAGCGTTCTCAGCCTAAAAGCCTGAAAACGAGGGCCTACAGGCCCTGTGTCGTTTTCAGCCTACAAGCCTGAAAACAAGCGCTTACAGGCCCTGTGTCGGTTCAGCCTGATAGCCTGAAAATAAGGGCCTACAGACCCTGTGTCGTTTCAGCCTGACAGCCTGAAAACAAGGGCCTACAGGCCCTGTGTCGTGTCAGACTGACAGCCTGAAAACGAGGGCCTACAGGCCCTGTGTCCGTTCAGCCTGAAAACAAGGGCCTATAGGCCCTCAGTCGTTAGCCAGAAGCTACCTGGAAACTACCCTGAAGCTTCCTCAGGTGCTAGCACGTTCTGGTATTGGCAAGAGCAGCCTCCCGGAAGCTTCCTCAGGATCTAGCACGTTTGGGCATTGGCAAGAGCAGCCTCCTAGACGGGCCAGCACTATATAAGACTGGCCCGCCCTACAGACAGGCGCGAGGTAGTTCATAGGAACTTCCCAGGCACTTCACGTGCAGAAGGCAAGAGTAGTCTTCAGGATTCGGCAACAGCACTCTGGAGGAGCGCTGCAGGAGCTTTAGCGCTAGCAGTAGTCTTCGGCACTGGGCGCTAGTAGCTGTAGTGGTAGTCTTCAGCGCTGGGCGCTGGTAGGAGCAGAGTAGTTTTGGAGAGAGAGATGGCTGGTGGAGGCCAGGGAGACTTGCCAGCGCCATAGCTCCAACTCCATCTTCAAGGTACCTGCATCAAGGCGCCAACTTCACAGGTTAGTACCGGACTGAGAGAGAGAGAGAGAGAGTTCTTCTTCGTCCTCTTCTCTTCTTCACCCTCTCGCTACCTGACTTCTCAGTATCTGCAGAATACGAAAGAGAGAGAGAGAGTTGTGACTTCGAGATTTGACGACATTGGATCCAGACTCGACATGGGGGATTCAAACATTTGACAGGGGATTATTTGGGACCTGTACCAAAGACTTGGTGTTGACAACATTCCCATCTTCGCTTCTTCTTCGTCTACCCCCCTCTTCTTCGTCTGTGTATGGTTGGGGACTGGCGCATTCTTCCTGTGTGAGCCCCAGGCCCCTTCACACCATCGAATGATGACGATGTATGTTTGAGGGTGCATTGCAACATTTATTGTTCGGATCATTGGTATCTAAGTCTTCCGCTACGCTATCTTGTACTTTGTGAGAGAGGTCGGTTCTTGTTCTGGTCTGCACCGTTACGGTATGCAACACCTACAGACCTCTAGCCTAGCAGTTTCGACCTCTACACAATTATGACCCCTACTTGACAGACCTACAGATCGAACCCCTACATCTACACAGACCTACGACAGACAAACAACCAACCACTGAAACACAAAGGTCACGGGTTCAAACACTCGGGGGTCAACTCGATACTGTACATGGGTAAGGTGAGGTCTGGGGATTGAACTCTAGGGCCTGCATCTATGACTGCAAAAAGGTGAAACCGTTTCACCTCTTTTCCTCAAAAGGTTCTAATCTTTAATTGCTCGAAAAAAAAAACAGTGTCCCTTGATTAGAACTTACCTCAAGAACCCATGCGAAAAAACGCAATAGAAGGGACTGTCATGAGACCGTTTAGGAGGGGGGCCCAAAAATGCCCTGTAAGACCCTCAGATGAAGTCTATCAGCCTCCATCTGATAACTTGAGATGCCTGATAGGATAGTAGACACAAACTTCTGATCAGAGGGCAGGGCACAGCAAGCATGTATGCCCAAAATCACATCGCACTGGGAAAATTTGTTCACGTAGAGCTGGATGCAACTGTAGTCGTGTGACCACATACGCTCCCCTACCATCACCCTCATTTGGAGTGGCAACGTTGGAGAAAGTCAGTGCCCGTTCGAGAAAGTCAGTGCCAATAGGATCAGGTTTCTCCCTTCTCTACTAAGGACTACGGTGGTGCCTGTCACTTCATTGTAATCAAGCCGAAACATTTAATAATAAAAAAATTAATAATTGAATAAATAAGGGACTTTTCACTTAGCGATTAGCCTTCACCTCGAGCTACATCGCTGGAAGCTACTCAACCGCGATCAAAAGGAGAAGCTTAAAAATTATTGAGCAGGAGTGTAGAGTGCAATAACTCATGCCGTCTGTCTCGTGGAACTGAGAGCCATCAGAAGGCCTACATGGCTGCCCTGAGCCCAATCCAAATACGGGCAGAAAAGGCCCTTCAGGATTTCAGGGCCTGGGCGTGTGACAGTTGACTTCGGTTAACTGTCGGTCCACCCAACAGTCAAAGTCCAAAGGTACCTAGCCTAGGCCGCAGGTCAAGCACACACAACTGTTTGTATGCAGGTACCGAGACAACATCAGGTCCAAGGGAGAAGTCTGTAACTGAACAATCCGAGCCTTGAGATGTGAGTCAATCTGGACGACTGGGGACAAGGCACCCGAGGCCAGACAGCCTCAACGACTGCTACATAAGGCCGGCCTCAATCAAGTCCAGCATTCAAAAGATTGACTCGACGCAGGCTTCATGTTGGCTGTGCACACGCGTTGCGGACGACGGCACAAGGTGGAGACGGCACGCTGGTCTACGTGGCATGCTGGCGTGGCGCTGCCTCTGGTGTATGTGGCGCTACTGCTGGTCTACGTGGCATGCTGACGTGGCGCTGCCTCTAGTATAAGTGGCGCTGCCTTTGGTCTACATGGCATGCTGATGTGGCGCTGCCTCTAGTATATGTGGCGCTGCCTTTGGTCTTCGTGGCATGCTGATGTGGCGCTGCCTTTGGTATGTGTGGCGCTGCTCCTGGTACATGGGGCGCTGCTCCTGGCCTACGAGGTGCTGCTATTGGTCTTCATTAATGATGTGGCGTAGCCACCTGTCTTGATTGCTGATGTGGCATTGTCCACGCTGTCTACATGAGGTGATTGGTTGCGAGGAAGAGGAAGATCGTGACTGTGGAGAGATCGTGGATACTTACCTGATTGTCTTCATGTCGACATTGCTTCAGCGCTGATGAGGGACTGATTAGATGTGCCACGTGGCACATTGAGGTTACTTCGGATACTTGTTCAGACTATTGATTATTGAGGTGGTGGTCGAGGAGGGAGCCCGAAGCAGGAGTGGGCATTATACTTTCCTCTCCTTTGTCTAATCTCCCTCCTCTCTCTTCGTTTGTGTATGATCACCTCATCTCATTCTGTCTGGTTACGATTTTGACTATTGGTATGCATGAGCTGGTTGACATTCATCTGGGCTTGCATTGTTGACAACTGTGTTCACGATCAGGGTTCATTGCAATTTGGTATCGGAGCAACTCTTCATCGCGATCTGATGTCAGCTGTTAGGTGTTGACGTGGCACACAGGTAAGTGGGAGGTGCTGCATGTGCAATATGAAACACGTATATTAACGCGCACGATCATCCCGCACGTCTAGACATGGTAATAGTGCACTTGCGAGCAGCCGTCCCTTGAAGATGATGACAAGGCTACGTTGAAGATTGAAGGGCTGTGTTGGCAACAGGCTGACGTGGCGCTGGTACCGCTGATGTGGCACATTGTTATGTGGCATGCAGGGCATGGTCTGACGTGGCATGTACTCGTTACTGCTTGCTAGTGATGTGCTGACTTGGTATATTGGTGGAAGGCAGACCTGCACTGTGACGTGGCATCCCTCCTTGTTGACCTATCGGGTCCCTGATCTGCTGACGTGGCAGACTCTTTGAGTTGCTGTGTTGGCAGGCCAGGGGTGACACGTGGCATGTGTAAGGACTGTTGAAGGTGTGAATGTGCACTTGGGTTGTACTGCTGTTGCAGATGATTGAGAAGACAGCTAACCATTGATTGCGTTATGTGTTGGTTTTACTTACCTGTTGGTTGTCTGTGGATGTTGTGCATACTTACTCTTGTGTTGTTGTCCTGCGGTACCTGCACGTATACGGTAGAACGTCATCACACATAGATTAGGAAGAACAAACAACAAAATAGTATTAGAAAATTGTTTCTTTGTCCCTGCCTTTAATAATTCTTGTTGTAAGAGTTGTGTGCATCATGGAATTTATTTTTGTCTTTTAATTTTATTTATTGTGCCACATTTACACGCTTGGCAGAATGAACTCTCTTTGGAAGTGTTTGCGTGCCTCTATCTTGACTCGGTTCATACCCCTCTTCTTCTTCTCCATCCCTCTCACCGTCTTTGTTGATGAAGAGAGAGTGGAATTGAAAACCCGTGGACAGATTGACGGAAGAAGACAGACTTTGTTGGGTCTCCTTCGTCAGCTGCTTGGCGAGATACATGGCGCCAGTCCAGATGCTGAACAGCATGTTCACGGACAGGTCAATCTGCGTGATGCAGAAGGAGACCTGCAGGCCGCTGAAACTGCTGTTCAGATGATGGAGACAGGCCGAAGGGTCGAAGAACTCATAAAGCAAGGACGATTAGTCCTTGATCGGTATGTCCCTGAGAGCCTTGAGAAATAAGATCGGGAAAGAAAGGGAAGAAAGGAAAAGAAAGAAGAAAGGGTTGAAAGGAGAGAACCGCAACTGTCTGTGGATATGATGGAGGAAAACATCCGACAGTTACAGAACACATTGAGAGAAGAGAGAAGGAAAGTTGAAGAGTACCGAAGATTGAAAGAACAACAACAAGAAGAAGAGAGAGTAATGGAAGAGTTGAGGCAAAGGTTTCACTACGAAGAAGCAAGAAGTGAGGTTGCATTTATTCTCCAGTCTATCATGGTCTACCTCGTGCATCTCGAAAAGAAGATTGATAAGAAAACCGCCGCGGTTGAGTCCATGACCAGAATGGTGAAAGGGAAAGACAAGGTGGTGTATGAGGAGGTGGCCAGGGGGAAGAAGATAAGAAAGAATCCCAAGAAAAATTAATGAAGGATGCAATGAAATGGGTCACGCCTGAGAAACCCGCAAGTTCCAAGAAAGAACCTGTGAGACCGGTTGAGAAGAAAGAAGAACCCACCAGAAAGAAAGAAGAACCGGCGAAAGAAGCGGAAAAACCGAAAAAGAAAGAAAAGGATAAGATGAAATTGTCGTTTACCTACAGCAACAAAAAGGAAGAAAAC